TGGAGATAGCTAGGTCAAAAAAGGGTATTGTTGTCTCACAAAGGAAGTATATCTTAGACCTTCTGCAGGAAACTGGAATGAGTGCATGCAAACCCGCAGACACTCCAATTGACCCAGGTCAGAAGTTGGGAGATATCAAGGAAGGAACTCCAGTTGATATTCACCAATATCAAAGATTGGTGGGAAGATTAATATATCTGGCACATATTAGGCCAGATATTGCATTTGCAATAAGTATGGTGAGCCAGTTTATGCATAATCCTTTCCAGGAACATCTTGATGCTACTTACAGAATCTTAAGGTACCTGAAGAGCTGCCCAGGGAAAGGATTATTTTTCAAAAAGGGAGTCAGTAGGAAAATTGAGGCCTATACTGATGCAGATTATGCTGGCTCAATACATGATAGAAGGTCTACTTCTGGATATTGTACCTATGTATGGGGAAATTTAGTAACCTGGAGAAGCAAGAAACAAAATGTGGTTGCTAGAAGTAATGTTGAGTCAGAATTCAGATCTATGGATAATGGAATATGTGAATTACTCTGGATCAAGAGAGTAATTACAGAACTGAAGATGGAGATGGAACTGCCTATGAAGCTGTATTGTGATAACAAAGCAGCTATAAGCATTGCTCATAATCCTGTGCTACATGATCGAACTAAGCATATTGAAGTGGACAGACACTTTATTAAAGAGAAGATAGAAACAGGAATTATTTGCACACCATTTGTATCCACCAAAGACCAAACAGCTGATATCCTCACCAAAGGGTTATTTAAACCGGTGTTCGAACTGCTTACAACCAAGTTGGGAATGTATGATATATATTCACCAACTTGAGGGGGAGTGTAGAAAATGTTATATTATTGTAGAAAATGTTACAAGATTTAATTTGGTGTACATACTTAGCTGAATAGATTAGAACATGTGTTGTTATTTAGAGATAAGCTCGTAGTAATCAAGATCCTATTTTTTAGGATCTAAATTAGCTGATTAGTTGCTTGTACATCTGTATAAATATTCTGGCCGATTGGCACATTCAATCAAGGAAGTTTTATTCCTAAAACCTACAGAACCCTATACCTAAATCTGGGAAGATCTTGACTGATGAAATGAAAGGGGAGGAATCATCAAATTCAGTCCAAAGGAGGATAAACCCTAGATTATCACAACAAGAACTACGGAAGAGGAGTAGAAAAGGGTTGTGTTTTAAATGTGGTGAAAACTGGAACCAAGGTCATATATGCAGAATGAAGAACTTCAAGATGGTACTAGTGGAAAATTCTGAAGGGGAGGAAGAGTCTGAAGCTGCCTCTAGTGAATCTGAAGAAGGAGAAGGGGTTCATATGGAACCCAAAACTATGCAGTTATCAGTTTTGAGCAAGTAAGGAATCTCATCTATGAAGACATTTAAGGTAAAAGGAAAACTGAAATGGCCAGAAAATGAACAGGTTGATATTTTGATTGATAGTGGTGCTACCCACAACTTTATATCCCAGAGATTGGTTGACAAATGGAAAATACCTTTCCAATATATCAAAGGATATAAAGTACAAATAGGGAATGGAGAGTTGATTCCCAACTGTGGCAGATGTGAAGATCTAATATTAAAGGTGCAGGGGAATGAAATTCAACAAAAATTTTATATGTTGGAATTGGGTGGAACTGATATAGTGTTGGGAATGGAATGGTTGACTGATTTAGGTGAAATGAAAGTTAATTTTCATAATCAGACCATTAAATGGAGAAAACATGCGCTGAAGCATACCGTTAATGGGGAAGCTGCTCTGAATAATATGGAGATATCTCTGAAGACTATGGTTCACATCTTACAACAAACAGGAGATGGATATTTGTTGTATTGTGAAGGCCAGAGTACTGAGAAGGAGCAGAATCAGATTCATGATGATAAGTGGAATGAAGTGATAAAAGAATATCCTGAAGTTTTCAAAGCAACCCTAGATCTGCCACCTGTCAGGCCATGTGATCATGCTATCAATATCAAGGAAGGAGCTAATATACCTAACCGCAGACCATACAGGTATTCTTATGATTCTTATGATCAGAAGAATGAAATTGAGAAAATTATTCAGGAAATGCTCAGTACTGGAATTATAAAAAATAGTAACAGCCCTTACAGCAGCCCAGTTTTGCTAGTTAAAAAGAAGGATGGGGGTTGGAGAATGTGTGGGGATTACAGAGCTTTGAACAAGATAACCATTCCTAACAAATTCCCTATACCAGTAATTGAAGAACTCTTAGATGAATTAGGAGGGTCTAAGGTGTTCTCCAAATTGGATTTAAAATCTGGTTATCACCAGATTAGGATGAAAGAGGAGGATGCACATAAAACAGCCTTTCGGACTCACGAAGGACATTATGAATATGTTGTTATGCCATTTGGATTGACCAATGCACCTTCAACCTTTCAAGCATTGATGAATGAAGTCCTGAGACCTTATTTAAGGAAGTTTGCTCTAGTGTTTTTTTATGACATTCTGATTTATAGTAAATAAGAAGATGAGCATGTAGAGCACTTAAGAAAGGTATTACAGGCATTAAAAGAGAACAGCTTGGTAGCTAACAAAAAGAAGTGCTCATTTGGTCAGCATAAATTGACATATTTGGGCCATATAATATCAGAAGAGGGGGTATCTACAGACCCTAGTAAGATTGAAGCTATGATCAGTTGGACAGAACCCAAAGATTTGAAAAGTTTGAGGGGTTTTCTTGGCCTAACCGGATATTACAGGAGGTTTGTGAAGGGGTACAGCAGGATTGCAGCTCCTTTAACACAATTACTGAAGCAAGACAACTTTCATTCGGGAAAAGAGGCTAGCTTGGCTTTTGCAGAATTGAAACAAGCCATGACATCTCTACCCAGTCCTAGTCAACCCAGATTTCAATAAAGAATTCATTGTAGAAACTGACGCTTCTTGGAAAAGGGCTAGGAGCTGTACTTATGCAGGAAGGCAGACCCATAACTTATATGAGTAAAGGAATATCTCTAAAACATCAGGCTAAATCTGTTTATGAGAAAGAGCTGATGGCCATAGTGTTGGCAATACAGAAATGGAGGCCTTATTTGTTGGGGAGGAGATTTGAGGTACATACTGATCAAAGAAGTTTAAGGTACCTGACAGAACAAAAGATTATGGGAGCTGAACAACAGAAATGGATAGCTAAACTGTTAGGCTATAATTTCTCTATTCAGTACAAACCAAGCTTGGAAAACAAAGCAGCAGATGCTCTGTCCAGAAAATTGCAGATTAATTCTCTGTCAATAATCACTTGTATGGAATGGGAAGGTTTAGAAGAAGAATTACTAGCAGATCAGAAATGTTATGATACTATTCAGAAGGTGCTAAGCCAGCCTGATCAAATGCCAGAGTTCCAATTGAAGAAGGGATTACTATACTTTAGAGGGAGGGTTGATGTTACCTAAAGGTTCTCCTAGAATTACCAAGGTTCTTAAAGAATTTCATGATTCAGCAACTGGAGGTCATTCTGGCAATTTCAGAACTATGAAGAGGATATCAACCTTATTCTACTGGGTTGGTATGAGGAAGGATATTCAGAAGTACATACAGACTTGTGACATTTGCCAAAGGAATAAATATCAAGCCTTGAAGCCAGGTGGTTTGTTGCAACCTTTACCAATACCAGAACAAATATGGACTGATGTTAGCATGGACTTTATTGGTGGACTGCCTAAATCAAAAGGGAAAGATACTATCTTGGTAGTTGTTGACAGGTTAATCAAGTTTGCACATTTTATAGCTCTTACCCACCCATACAATGCTAGGGGAGTAGCTGAGATGTTTATCAAGGAGGTGGTAAAGCTTCATGGGTTTCACAGGTCCATAGTGAGCGATAGAGATAGTATATTCTTGAGCAAGTTCTGGTCAGAATTATTCAGATTGGCTGGTACTAAACTGAATTATAGTACAGCATATCATCCACAATCTGATGGACAAACTGAGGTTGTAAATAGGTGCTTGGAGACCTATTTGAGATGCTTGACATGGAAGAATCCAAAGGAATGGATAAAGTGGCTACCATGGGCTGAGTTTTGGTACAATACAAATTACCATGTATCTCTAAAACAGACTCCTTACAAAACCCTCTATGGACAAGAACCACAAACAATCATCAGAGGAGATGTAACTATCATTGTTATTGATGAAGTAGCCAGATTGACTGCTGAAAGGAATGGGATGCTAGCTGAAATCAAGGAGAAGTAGAGAACTTAGCCATTGCTCGAAATAAGATGGAGCAACAAGCTAATAAGCACAGGAGAGAATTGAAGCTTGAAGCGGGGGAACAAGTTTACTTGAAAATACAACCTTATAAAATGCAGAGTTTAGCCAGGAGGTTAAATCAGAAGTTAAGTCCAAGATGGACCTTTTGAGATCATTGAAAAGTTGAATGAGGTTGCATTCAAGCTGAAATTGCATGATCATTGCTCAATACATCCTGTATTCCATATTTCTCAACTCAAGAAAGTCCTCTCCTCAAACACTACTTGTCAGCCTTTGCCTAAATGTTTGAATGAGAATTGAGAACTGCAGGTGTTACCAGAAAAGGTGGTGGATGCAAGGAAGAGAGCTAATGGGAGTACTGAAGTCCTCATACATTGGAAGGATCTACCTGAATTTGAGAGGTCTTGGGAAGTTGACAGGCTGTTAGACGCATTGTCTGGACTGGGAAAGTTGGAGTATTATCTCCTCTTTTGGGACTCTTGTATACGACTCCTCTGCATCAATAAACTGTTGATATTGTTCTTGTTCTTGATTGTGTTGATTTGTTAGTTTTCTCTGATTGAAAGCTTTGTTCGATTACTGTGCTACCCTATCATTGGATCCTTAGTATATCGGTTGTATGTGTGGCCCGAAAAAGAGTCCACAACATATTCCAAGAAGCAAGCTTACATTGGTGGAACAATTCCATAGAAAATAAATCAATAGATAGAGCAAAACTGCAAAAGAGAAAAGTAATTACCAATGTGACTCGCCCAAGTGCGCTCTTGTGTCCAAGAGAGCTGACACCAACCATTTCACAATCCATGGCTATCACATCAGTAACACTGCAATACAGCAAATGAGCAATAAACATCTTAGGAAAAATAACTGGAATGAAGGTCATGGGAATCTATGCATTGCACTTTGCATAACTGCTATTTCTACTAAGAAGGTAAATTTGCAACAACGGCATCTGTTAAGCAAGACTTCCATTCCCAAAAATGTCGCTAACGTCAACTCGCTAAGGCTTGTTACGAAATTATGAAGTTATTATGAAATTGTTATTTTCCAATTTATGTTCACCAAGGGGGTTGACTTTTTTTGCTTACTTTTTCCTTAAGGTCATTAAGATCAACAAGTCCAAAACTCATTAAAAAAATCAAAGATATGGACAATTGGAACGGGAGTTATGTGAGATTTCATTACTTAAGAATAGAGTTGAGAAGGATGCACATCCAAAGGTTGTATAGGTGTATCAATATGCAACTTGGGTTTAGATTTAGCCAAACTGTGTTTCTCAACAGCTCTCCAAACACAACCAAAAATTGATAGTACAAAAGAATATGAAACTAATGAAACATAAAACATTCATGAAAGATAGTCTATATGAGTGAAACATTCATGGAAACCATGTGTGAAACAAATTGAGGCCTTTCAATAACAAGCCTTTATGCCTTCTAATAAAGTCTTATTCAGCTCAAGTATGAGTGTTCAATGTTTAAAATCAGAAATAGCCTAAATATCAATTTGTGATTCTTCAATATAGGCCATGTTTCAATAATGGCATTTTGCTAAATAAATGAGCGTTTTTACCAACTTTGGTGTTTTCAGTCAATGAAAATACTGATTTAATATGTTTGGTGTAGTGCGGCTGGGCTTAGCATTTCGGGCCAAAAATGCCGAAATAAAAATGCTGAGAATAGTAACATTTTAGTTCAATGTTTTGTAATAAATTACTATCATAATAATTATCAAATGTTAAAATATAAACTAGAATAATATTGAAGATATAGAGAAGGATTTTCTATGTGTTTATTGAAGGGTTGAAGTCCATATAAATATATATATATATATTATAAGATAGAATATTCATACAAGATTCTAGAGCATAACAATATCCTAGAGTAACTTCCTAAATATTCCAAAGCGTATTCCTACATCATTCTAATATAATTCACACTCCTCCTCAAGTTAAAGCATAGATATTTATCATGCCCAACTTGTTACAAAAATAATCAACTCGAATCTCATTTAGTGCTTCCGTGAATAAATCGCCAAGTTGTTCTCCGGTCTTCACATATTCAGTAGATATCCCTTTTGTATCTTCTCTTGAATAAAATGACAATCAACCTCAATATGTATTGTTCTCTCATGAAATACCAGATTATCCGCTATGTGTATAGCAGCTTTATTATCACACCACAATTTAGCAGGCATTGATGTCTTCAATTTGAACACACTCAATAAATGACCTATCCATATGATCGCACATGCAGATTGCACCATAGCTCAATATTCTGATTCAATACTTAAACGGGAAATCACATTTGTTTCTTACTTTTCCGGGATACTAGATTACCACCAACAAAGATGCAATAGTCAAATGTAGATCTTCTATCATCTTTAGAACCAGTCTAATCGGCTGCAAAACATTCTATTCTTCTATTCTCTAGTGATCATGGTTTGATATACCTCGTCCTACAAATAACATAATATGTGTTCTACATTAGCCCAATGATCAATGGTTGGAGATGACATGTACTAACTCACTACACTCACAGAGTAAGCAATCTGGACACAAGTGGTTACGAGATAATTAAGCTTTCCAACCAATCTTCTATATCTTTTTGGTCTTCAAACCACATGCTTTCTTGAGTGAGTTGCACATTGGGAACCATGGGAGTATTGTTCAACTTTGATCCGAATTTTTCCGATTCACTAGCAAATCGAGTACATATTTTCGTTGAGATAGAAATATGTATTTCTTACTCCGTGTTACCTCAATACCCAAAAAGTATTTCAATGAGCCTAGATTTTTTGTTTCGAACAGGCTATGAAGAAAAATCTTGAGGGCCAAAGTACATGCATTATCACTCCATGTAATCACAATATCATCTACATACACCACAAGCAATGTAATACATGCGTTCGTTCGTCTATAAAAGACAGAGTGATTTGATTGATCTTTTATCACTCCAAACCGTTCAATTGACTGAATGAATTTCCAAACCATGCACTAGGACTCTATTTTGGACCATAAAGAGATTTGTGAATTCGATAAACTTTCCCATACTCCCCTGAGCAACAAATCTCAGAGGTTGCTCAATATAAAGTTCTTTTTAAATATCAGACAAATGTTAATTTAGCAACAAGAGAAAAGGTGTCAGAATAATTAACACCATAGGATTGACCATAACCGTGCGCACCTAATCGGGCTTTGAACTGAGTTGTAGATCTGTCTGGATTAACCTTTACTGCGAAGACCCACTTAAATCCAATAGACTCTTTCCCTGCTGGCAATGTTTGAAATTGCGCGATACAATTGTGCCTTAAGGCGCGCCTCATCGATTTTCACTTTTTCAGGCCTGTTGCGATTAAAGGCGAATCTTATTTTATGCCATAAGAAAGCTAACGCCTTTTTATAAGTCTCCAGATTACCTAAAAAGGATGGGCCCAGATGAATTTCAAATCCAATACTTAATTTAATACTTGATCAAAATAGTTGTCTCTTCTTCTGATTTCCATGCGCCAGTCCACCTCTTCCTCCCACCTCCGTATTAATTTTTTTACATCAGCTCTTTTGTAAGTTTTGCGTCTGTCCATCTACCCTTCTTATGGCTCTGCGTTGTTCTTATTTGCATACGGCTGTCCCTCAGTGTGCGTCGGCATTCTTAAGTAGGGACTAGGGAGACGAGATTATATACATAGTATATTACCTTGAGTGGGTTCTGAAGTATTCTTCTAGACTTATGATGCAGCGCAGGTAATATCCTTTGGTGTCTCTTGAGATGATTATTAGATAATTTTGAGTGGATTCTAGCTAGATTCCATTTTTTGTTTAATGTTTGTCTAGGCTCAAAATTACTTCTTGCCACGAATTTTACTATGTTTTCTCCGTTTTAGGCAATGTCTTTAATTATTTATATTCAAAGTTTTCTTTTATTCTTAGTGGAGATTTACTTTTCATATAATTTGAAATTTTGTTTCAAGTATAATCGTATACTACAATAACAACAACATCTAAGCCTTAGTCCCAAACGATATTGGGGTCGGCTAACATGAATCGATACATGATATCACCAAAAGGAAAAGAAAGAAAATAAAGATAAAAAAGATAAGCTATTATACAAAAAAGATAATATAAAAGAGATGAATATACATATAGGGAAAATGGAAATTAATAATCCAACCTTTTAGCGGTCTTCTTTTAATAGTCCAACCTTTTCGTTATTCATGAATAATCCAAACTTTGCATCTCATCTTCATTCATTGGTCCCCAACCGGTTGATGACCTGCTATTCTGAGTTATTTTCTTATCTCTGCAAACTATTATACCATAAATTCCACCTTTCACAAAGATAATATTTTGCAAAGATAAGAAAATAACTTGAAATAACAGGTCATCAACCGGTCAGGGACCAGTGAATGAAGATGAGGTGCAAAGGTTGGATTATTCATGAATAACGAAAAGGTGGGACTATTAAAAGAAGACCGCTAAAAGGTTGGATTATTAGTTTCCATTTTCCCATACATATAAAAGATAAAATAAAAAGGATAAAGTAATATTTATATATAAGGATAAAAATATTAAAAAAAAAAGAAAAAAAAGAAAAAAAAGAGCGGAAAAGAGGATACAAGATCACTCCTTCACACGAATACCCGTCCTCCATTTTGCTCTCTCCAAAGCCATACCCTCATCCAATCCAATAAGAAGCATATCACTGCTGACTCAACCCACGTCTGTTTGGGCCTTCCTCTCCCTCTCTTCCCTGCCTCTTCTCCACACATCTCTCGTCTCTCGTCTGACACATTTCAAGTATAATCGTATATCTACTTTAATTTGGATTATATATGTATATCAAATAATGTTTAAATATTGACATTAGCAATTCTCTTTTGCATTCATCAATCCAAAAACTTAGAATTTTAGAATAAACAATTTGTATGATGACATTTTATGACGTTATTGTTAATTTGGTAATTAAATATGTTATTTTGAATGCATTTTTATGTATTATTAGTTATATATTTTTATATATTTTTTCCCTAAGCATTAAGATTTACGATTTTACGCCTTATCCTTACGCCTCAATGCGCAATGAGGCATACACAATACGCCTGGGAAAAAATGCCTCAACTCTGCAATCCGCAATTTATCTCCTACCTCTAGAGTGGGCCAATGCTTCTTTAACCGATTGGGAATAGAAATAGAATAAATGGAAGCAATAAACAAACATGAGGTAGGAGATAAATGGTTATACGATACAAAGGAAGAAATAGGATGAGTACAAAACCGTGTATCTTTACATAATGCTATCAGAAGGTCAAGGTCTGATGTAGAGACAAGGTCTCAAAATGCAAGTATTGGGTCAGGACATGAGGTCGAAGCTAGATTTCGGGAGATGTAATCATATATGGAAGGTGATCCCATGCTTTGTGTCGACAAGTGTAAACCAAGTGTATTGGAGGTATGGGGTCAGGAACAGTAACATGTGCTAGAATTAGTGATAGTGTGGGCTCGACTGTAGTAACCGTGTAAATGAGTATTTCATCATTTTCCTGAACTCGAGAATAACCTAAGAAAATGCACTTTAATGATTTGGGGTCTAACTTCACATGATGAGGGTTAACATCTCTAACAAAACAAGTACAAATTAATATATTAGGTGGGATAAGAAAAAATTCTTTATTTAGAAAAGGCATTGATAAGGAGCTTTACCATCCAAAATAGAAGATGGTATACGAGATATCAAAAAACATGAGATAGACACGGCATGAACCCAAAACTGTTTAGGGACATTCATTTGGAATAGAAGAGTTCTTGCAGTTACTAACAAATGTCAGTTCTTGTTCAACAAATCCATTTTGAGGAGGTGTGTCGGTGCATGAAGTTTGATGAATAATGTCATTTTGAAGCGTAATAGACTTAAATGGAGCAAATAGATATTCTTGGGCATTGTCTCCCCTTAACACTCGAACATGAACATTAAACTGAGTTTTAATTTCAGCACAAAATGTAGAAAATGAGTAAATAACTCCGATCAATGTTTCATAAAATATAACCAAGTCATATGAGAATAATCAACAAGTGTAACAAGATATTTGAAACCAAATTAGGAGACAACGGGACAAGCCCCCCAAACATCACAATGGAAAAGACCAAAAGGAGCATTTGCTCGTTTATTAACTCAAGGACTTACTAGTATGATGATGTTTCGCAAATTGACATGACTCACATTATAAAGATGAAACCTTATAAAACTGAGGATATGTTTGCTTCATTAGGGGGAGAGATGGATGTCCTAGTTGGTAATGAGCCTCTAACAAAGTTCTAACCCCGAGAGAAGAGACACCTTCTTTGTGTGTTCTTTGAAGGGCAGAAATCCCTATAAATATCTATTACAAGATAGAATATTCCTATAGGATTCTATAGCATAATAATATCCTGAGTGTTCCTAAATATTCCAAAGCATATTCCTACACTGATTCTAATATATTTCACATCAATGTTGCTTCGATTAGATTTAATTATATATGTGTGATGAATCTAATTTCAATGACATACTCTTTGAATGATGTGTAATAGATGTTAATGATACAACAACATCTAAGCCATAGTCTTAAAGAGTTTTGGGAATGGCTATCATTAATCGGCATATGAAATCGGAGCTAAAAAGATAACAAAGATAATAAAAAATAGTAAAACATAATATGAGATAAAAAGAAAGTTAAAGATATAAAAAAAATAAAAAAGATGATATAAAGATAAAAAGGATACAAGATAAAGAATAGAAGAAAGATGAAAACAGATCAATCCTCCACCCGATTATGTTGTCTCCACTTCACTCTCTCCAAAATCACTCTCATCTCACCCACGAAGACTTCTCTAATTCATGCATGTTCGAGTCTCCTCTCCTCCACACCTCTCAAATTATCTAACACGTGCATCACTCAATTCTGCGACGCACAAGGCCAAATCACCACATCAAGACTCTCGCATCTTATCTTCAATATGTGTTACTCTCACCTTTTGTGTGATTGTCTCATTCCTCAATCAGTATTTTCTAATATGTTCGCACATACAATGCAACATGTGCATCTCAACCGTACTCATCTTTTAAATGTGACATTGTTTCACCATCCAACACTCTACACCATACAATAATGCAGGCATAGTTGATGTCCAATAAAACTTAGGTAGATTCTATGGTACCCTTAAGGTACCATACCTTTGTCCACATGGACCAATAGGAATGATGCAGTTGAATTAATTAAATCTAAATTAAAAGGAATAGAATGATTTGGATCAATCAAATGCATGGTAGGTACGGTACCCCAATTTTTAAAAGGGTACCGGAATTGTCACCTAAAACTTATCCTTTAGTCTAGTCAGCATACCTCGACCATATAGAAATCCTAACGCACTCTTCCATTTCAATCACTTTGTTCTAATTCTATGGGATACATCTACATCTAACTCACCGTCTTTCTGAATTATGGAGCTCAAGTAACATAGCAACAGATGTTAATTGTGTATAACAAATTAATATGGATGAATTAAAACTCAATTCATGAAATTATATATACCTTAATTTCAAGATACGTTGTAGTATCCAGTTGCCACGCCTTTAAATATTTACATACAAATACAATATCATTGTACTTCTAAGTGATTATAACTACAATATCATAGTATAGTGTAAAACTATACTATTGTCCTTTTATGTCATTTTGTTGTTAATGGTTAAGAACAAAAAAGCTAATTTACCAAAATGCAAGCCATCAGACTAAGCATCTTCCGTGGGGATGTCTAGTCTCTTGCACGTGGATCTCATTTTTTATCTCACAATTTTATGTGTAGGACTTATATATCTTCACATTTATCTTAACTTTAATTTTTTATACCACTTTAAACCCACTTTTAATCCACTTTTACTCATTGATTCCCATGTAAAGTCCATGTGTGGACATTATTATAGACATTATCTGTAATTTGTTTCTATCTCTCTCATTTTTCTCATTTTTCTCATTTTTCCCACAAACCACTTTCTCCATATTAAATTAAAATAAGCATCCTATCGATGTCTCTCTCCATCACTAGAATCCACTATCTCATTGGAGATGCTCTAACTAAACCCACTTATCATTGAATGTCATAAGAACATCACAATTCTTAGAATGATTATAATTGGACTGGAATTTTCTGCAGCAGATTGGCTTAATTGACTCTGATCTAGTATGAACTGAATTTTAATGTTTATTCTTACTTTACAACTGTCGAAGTCGAAGCATCATCTAGTTTGAGACTGAAACAAATTCAATTAAAAACATTCTTAGCCAACAAAAATGGGAAAACAAAAATGCACCTAAAATCAGACGAGGTAGGATCCAAAGGGTTGGTCTGTGAATCACTCGCTAGCACATTATGCCTCTCTTTTCTCTTCCCTGCAATCTCAAATAATCAATTACTCTTTTTTCTTTTAAAAATGTTGTTTTTTCTCAAATGATCCCAAAGTATACATGAAAGAAACGAATAAAGTACCCAAGATGGTACTAGGGGTTTCTGATTCTCGCATAGGCTTTATGAGCTGTTTCTTTGAACTGTTGATATTGAGTTTCTGCAAACCAGGAAACAGAAAACGGTGAAGGAGAAATGTGGTTAGGAAAATAGATGAAGAGAAAGAAAAAACAGGTAGTTGTACTTGACATAGCTCAGCCCAGTTGGGGTTGAGCTTCGGATGATATTTAGGGTTTTTCAGCTGACTTGCCATCTGCCCTCTTCCTCCTCAACTGATTATTGCGGTGTTTAACCCTCCGTTCTCTAATCGCCCGCCTACGTAGCGGTGGGAAAACTGAACTGAAATCCACAGACCCTGACCCGATGATATCGGTCATTCGGTCCGCAGTTTTTCTTTTTAACGGGTCTGAATAAAGAAACGAACTGAACCCGATATTTTGGGCTCATTAATGGATCCTAAAAATCTATAACTCTGAAAAATCCTGAAACAATTAGCTTTAATATAGAATCAATATAACATACGAATATAACTTGTAAATTAATTTCTAATATATGATTATAATCATGGTGGATGAAAAAATGACTAAGTAATTTTTAGTGAGTACAAATATATTCAATTATTTACTGTAATAACCATGAAAATATATTTATAGTGACTTTAATCACATATTGATCCATAAATTTTACGTAGTATTTCGTAACATTTTTAGAAAACCTATATTATTTATTCATATGCATCTTAAACCAAATATTATGATAATTATCTTGTTTGGATTCGAATAGTTTGTACGAATAGTCAACCACAGTCCAGTATATTCATACTATACTAGGCGCCGTGAATATCATTCACACATAGTACATCCATAAACAAACATAATGTAAAATATTCATTAAAACAGTGGAAACAATATTACAAGTGTTCAAGACTTCAAGTCAAACTTGACAAACTTAGGCATACAAGCCCCCAAATAATTTATTGAAAAATATTATCCATGAACATTATTATCAATGTTTGAAAACAGAAATGGATGAAGCACAAACCACGTCTTCGCTCCTAGATCCTTCCCAAAGCAACGGGTACTGGTAGCAAGCTCAACTTCTACCTCAAACTGTGATGTAGCCGCCCCCTGTGAAGGGAAGGTCGGTACTTTGAAACATTTGAAAAGTACAATGACAATTACATTGTATATGATCAATATTTCAATTCCCAAGACCCTCAAATAGGGTGATATCATAATATAAATTGTAACCTTATGTTACCTTGTTTGAAAATATATTTACTTTATATAAAGTCAGGTGATCGGCCCGTAGGCCCATGTTCATTTTGAAACGTCTTTTCCTATTCCCTGTGACTACGAGTCACGATCATCATAAAACCATAGGTAGGTCACTATGTCATCATAAGGCTTTACCCTATTACGTTATTTCACAATAATAGAGCCGCAGTTAGACCTGTACAAAACCGGGCCAGCCCGCCCGGCCCGCCCGCACAAACTAGCGGGCTTGGGCATATATATTTACCCACCGGCCCGGCCCGGGCCCGGCCCGCAACAACATATGGGCGGGCTTGGGTTAGGGTGTAGGCCCGTTCGGGCCGATAAGCCCGGCCCGCTACATTTAGTATATATACATATATATATATATATATTTATATATACTAATTTATGTATTTATTTACATGTACACATGTATATTTTTATATTTACTAATTTATCTGTATACATATTTATAGTAAATTTAAGTTTTTAGTTCTTAACAAATAGTCCAACCAATATAATATCTATTTTTGTACTTACCGATAATACTTTGTGCCTGAATTTTAAATTTTAGATATAGTTTCTCATTATTATTTTTGTGTAAATATTTTTTGTGTACGTGATGAAAGGCCTATATACATTATAAGCGTATTAGCAATTTTTTAAATGATGTAATATTATTTATAAAGTATTAAATGAATTATATAATTTTGAAAAATTTAAAGTCTTCCCGGGCCCGGCGGCCCGGTGGACTACCCGGCCCGCTCTTACGGGCGGGTATGGACATGGGGTTAGGCCCGTTTTTGCGGGCCGGGCCCGCCCACACACGATGGGCAGAAAACTTATGAAAAGCCCGGCCCGAGCCCGGCCCGAACCCGCTTTTGTGCAGGTCTAAGCCGCACTCATTTAAACACCGTGTTAGAGTCTCGTTCTTAGTCACTCTACATTGTGCTAGAGCCTTGCTCTTAGTCACTCTACATTATGAATAGAGTCTCGCTCTTAGTCACCATTATGACGTGCTAAAGCTCCGCTACTAGTCATGTTATTCAATCCCTAAACAAGTTCTATGCTTAGAATCCGTTTATTTTGAGTAGCCTTTAAGGCCTACCTCTAGTATAACTTAGAGTTCATACATTTCCACCTTAAGGTATCTCTTAGGACTACTTAAGGCACAACTTCTCACAATCCAATCTTAGGATCAGATTCTATCATAAAATTCATATTAACATCCCGGCTAGTATTTTAATACTAGTCAGATAAATCTTAGAACAATTGTGTTCTCAATTCATGGTCATATAGCCAATTCAAAATGATCTTCCAATCAAAATATGATTGAATCTCAATACCCAAAATATTACTTTTATCCATTCATGTATTTTTTTCACGAAATAAAAGGTATATTTTATCATAAGGTTTCATAGTTAATTCAACTATCATGTCATCATATTCATAACACATAATCTTACACAATTTATTCTAAATTTGTATATCATGCTCCATTTCTTTATAGACAATAGTCTTCTCATCCTTAGGCATTATTAACCATTAAAAATCCATAAAAATCATGCTTAAATACTTTAGGTAATCTCATGAATTCAACCAACTAATTATAAGCAATATAGTCAGTCATCATCACCTTATGATGTGCTAAACTGGCTGCCTTTGTGAAGCCCTTTGATCGGTTCCCGTTCTAGGGCGATCGAAAATGAAGAAGCTAGACATAAGATGAACATCAGGCGGCCTTTGAAAAAGCCAGGGGCTTTTGCTTCTGCAGTTCGAAACAACCCCCTTTTAAGTGGCGGTTTCTAGCGATTTTAACTCCTATCGATTCAACAACACTTCTAAGTTAAATACCAACACTTTATATCAATATTCTACACTTTTAAACGTGTAGAACCTCACTTGTAGTCCACTAAATGATTTCTTAAAAATCATATGAACATAAAACTAGTTAAAGAATGTTTGTTGAATTCTTACCTCAAACACTATTCTTTTCTCCTTGGATTTCCTCTTTTCTTGCTTCCTTCAAGCTATGAATTTGTGATAATGTTTTCCCAGAGCTTCTCTCTACCTTGGGTTGTGCGGATGGTTCAAGGTGATAATGGAGGCATCTGTTTGCAATCAAAGCCTCAACATAATTCAAAGGATGGGACATGGGGTGCCGGCTTTTGTCTCTAGGAGACTTCCCATCTCACATCCATCCCTTCACTAATGTTACACTCCTATTCCATTATTTGGAGTCTACAAAGCATGTAGATATATCCTTAAATGGGCGTGGGATGCCCCTCCCTGTTATTCTTGCTATTTATAGCAAGCTGGGTCAAATAACACTTGGGTTGCCCATCACTTTCCATTACTTTAGTTTGCATTTTATTGAGCTTCTAATATTAATATGATGACTCAACTAAATATGTGGTAGCTCGTTCTCAATGTTTATAGGCCCGATAAATAATTTAATTAAATTCATCATCTTTTTACACAAAATTATTAACTAGAAAATTCAAATACATATTGAATTTAATTTCAAGTACATACGGGTGCGGTGTCACAAGTACACCCCCCCCCCCCCCCTAACGGGAATTTCGTCCCCGAAATTCACAATGCTACTCGAATAGGACCGCATACTGTTCCTTCATTAAGGCTTATGTTTCCCAAGTTTCTTCTTCAACTCGGTCACTTTTTCAATGGATTTTGACCATTGGATTTTGAGTTGGACTCTGCTGTCGCGTGGAGATATCTTGAAGATGGAGGTGCGGCTAGATGGAAGGTGGGTTTTCAGGAGAGTCTGATCCGTGCTAGGAGGAAAGAGGTACGATTTTCATTTGGAGTCAGAGAGTGCAACTGGGTAGCCCATTTCTTGGCGGCCCATTCTTTGCATCATCAGCTTGTATTTTCTCAGGTTTCGGATCTGCCAGATTCAGCCCAAAGGGCCTATTACTGTGATCTATTTGGTTTTCCTTCCTTTAGATTAATTTTCTAATTGTGGTTTTATTTTAATTTTGGGCCAAGTTCCCCCAAAATCTCGTTTTTATCTGTCATTTTTTAGGGAGGTTTTGGTTCGCCCCCCCCCCCCCCCTCTCTTTTTGTATTCATCTCTTTTTAATAAAATAACGGCAAATGTTCTCCGGCATTTGCCCCACTGGATGCAGTGGTTTGCCTTCCGGGGTTAAAAAAAAGAGTATGTGTAGTACTTAATTAAGTATGACAACTAAAAGTACATCAAGTGAAACGCCAAAAAACATGACAATTAACATAAATTCGAATGCCAACAAACTGACTAGTTAAGAATAATGAGGGGGAAGTAGAAGTCTCAAACATGTTATTCTGGGGACAAATAAATTGAATCCCAATATTATCAAACTCTCCATTATACAGATCAGAATAGGGTTCCTGCAAAACTTCTTCTTGTTTCCACCTTTCTTACACCGTTACAGACGGTGTAATATAAACAATCGAGATAGTCATTAAACAGACAATAAGAAGACCTTAAATTTGAGTATGTGTAGCACTTAATTAAGTATGACAACTAAAAGTACATCAAGTGAAATGCCATAAAAAATGACAATTAACATAAATTCGAATGCCAACAAACTGACTAGTCAAGAATAATGAGGGGGAAGTAAAAGTCTTAAACATGTTATTCTAGGGACAAATAAATTGAATCCCAATATTATCAAACTCTCCATTATACAGCACGAAATAGGATTCCTGCAAAACTTCTTCTTGTTTCCACCTTTCTTACACCGTCACAGACGGTGTAATATAAATAATCGAGATAGTCATTAAACAGACAATAAGAAGACCTTAAATTTGAGTATGTGTAGTACTTAAATTTAGTATGACAACTAAAAGTACATCAAGTGAAACGCCAAAAAACATGACAATTAACATAAATTTGAATGCCAACAAACTAACTAGTTAAGAATAATGAAGGGGAAGTAAAAGTCTTAAACATGTTATTCTAGGGACAAATAAATTGAATCCCAATATTATCAAACTCTCCATTATACAGATCGGAATAGGATTCCTGCAAAACTCCTTCTTGTTTCCACCTTTCTTACACCGTTAACAATGTTACTGTGAACCAAACTCTCCATTTGAAGGAATACGCTTCTCTTTAGGTCTCCAAGTTGGCGGGCGGG